GAAATTTCAGAATTTTTGAAAACAAAATTAGGAATCAGATTAGCTTCTATTTTGCCTTTGTTGTGCTTCTGTGAACGAACTTCTAATATAAAATGATTGTTTATTTATTGTGGCTATTAAACTAAAGACGGCTATTTTTCAACAGAGCTGAATAAAGTCTTCTCTTCAGATTAACAGGCAACATTTGATTGGATTCCTTGGTTAAACTTTTTTTTAATCCACATACACTTCTTGAGCTGAGCAAGAAAGCCTTCTGACATGAAAACTTCTTTTAAAAAGGTACTAGAAAAATAAATTTTAATGAAATACAAAAGTGTTGATCTAGTAACAAAGTTTAATCGATTGAACATCAAATAATTAGGTTAAAATTCAATAAAAATATTGCCATTTTAATCGGTTTTCGAATAAAAATACAGAATTTAATCAGATTCTGTTAAAAACTTTTTTTGAATCAGGGCAAAAAGTTTTGCCCTGCCCTGTGACGGTCTCTGGAATGTATCTAGGTTGATTCTTAAAACCCTAGGCACCAGATGGACACATTATTCGAAGAAACATGGTAAATTCTTGAGAGCCCGATTTTGATCCTTTAAAGTTATCATTGAATCATCAGCAAAAAGAAAAAGTGTATTGTACGGTCTTGTGAGATGCACAGTGTGAACTTTTCGACCAGTATACGGTTTTGATAAATACTTTTCCTGAAATGAAACCTTTCCTGAGTTCATTGGAATAATGATCAAACAAAGTTTTATCCAGTGAAATAAACAAGCTAAAGCTGTGAGGCTAGTACTTACGATCGCTTCAATGATTCTCTAAAAAACTTAAATTTTTTTTTTACATTTTGTTTCGACCAAATAACTTTTTGTTTCGGTTTACTTCAAAGAACATCTAATTGAATTTCTTAAAATTGAAATTGAAGGCTGGAGTAGTATCGATATAAAAGGGCATTTGAAATTTCTTGGGCGCAGATTAAGCTACTTCTAGTAATGCAATACATTTGACATCACTTTAGACGATCTGCTAAAATTATAAATACTGATCATTTATTTTCTTGTCAAATAGCAACCCCATCGGATATTTATTCGAATTATTCATCATCGTTGACTTCAAGTAGTCCAACATATTGCCGGCCAAATAAGAAGTGTCCATTGTCACCGAACTTTTACTATCAAGCATTACAAGTTAATGTGTCGAAGAATGGCAGCTATCGTTTTGTGAGCAGTGGCACTGTGAAGACTTATGTTGACATCTACAACAACTTTTTTAATAATTCCAATCCTAATCAATATTTAATTCGTCGAGTTGATGATAGCAGTGAAGAAAACCAGTTTAAGCTCAAAATGCCTCTTATTGCTGGGAATAAGTACATTTTAGTTATAACAACACACAAACGTAATATCACAGGAACATTCTCAGTCGCTGCAATTGGCTCTGGATCAGTTAGTTTCCTTTGTTTACAGTAGTGATATAGACACTCGATTCGGGTGTGGGTGTGGACGTTCATTCCTCTTTATTGTCAAATCCAAATCTATACGCACACGCACACTCCATGCACATCCACCCTTACTTGAAACAGGATAGATTCTCTATGGAAGGTGTTGAGCCAAAGATTTTTTTGCTTTAAAATCCCATGTTGACTAAGTTAAATTTTTAAACGACATTATCTTCTATACATCCTATTGTATGTCCAACCAATTATTTCAGTATCACATGAAAACCTTTATTATAATACACTGCTGTGTAAATAACGCGCTTTATAAGACCAACAGTGGGCAATAAAGCAGCTCAAAGAAATATATTTTAATAAAAAAATAGGATCAGCTAATTTTCTGAGGAGTTTTCCATTGTTTTTGTTGAAGAAATTTTATACTCTTTGAAAAAATTTCCAATCAAATTCTTGTAAGTATTTTTACAATAGACACTACGACCTTTTTAGCAAGAAAAACAAAGAAGCAAAAGACATTCCATCAGATTGCTGTATAAAAAAAATACAGAATTTCTGCATCACCTGTCCTACATGCAGCTTACTCTCAAGTTGTTATTACGTTGTGTGGGAGAAAAGAAGAGTCGCGCCTACGCTGCTTCAAACAATAGTTTCAGAAATGAAAAACGGATCTCTCAGTGGAAAACTAATGCATTTGTAAATAAATATTATACGAGTAAAGTTTACATGAACCTCTGAATTAGCTCGCGGGCAGCTCGTGACAGATTGGTAATTCTTCAACATGTGGCAGGATACTACTGATAATAATATCAGCGATCCAAATCTCTCGTTCACCTGTCAGTTCATATCATACTTTCGTATCGAATACGCATAGCTAATACTTAATTTCTGGAACATTACCAATTTGACAGCTCCTTGAATAATGCTTCGCAACACACTCATAAACCAATGCATCTTTTCTCAGATTTTTCTTTTTCTAGAAGTGCTAAAACAAAAGAAAATCGGTTCATAACTGCTGTTCAATATCAAACTATCTCAACCATTATTTGATAAAGCGATCAACGCTTTATCATCTCTAAATGTTGATGAAGTTTTATGACCATCGAATTCCACATCATTGTTAGTTTGAATCGAATTTATCTACATGATAATTTATCCACAGAAGTACTTCCACCTCTTCGTCAATCTATTCTATCATACGTTCTCTCAGAGTTGTATAGAATCTATTTGAAACAATCACCAGAAATGAAGGGTGTGGGTCAGGTATGTGGGTGTAGGTCTGGGTGTGGGTGCGTGGGTGTGGGTGTGGAGTGTGGGTGTGGGTGACTGTGAATGAAGATAAGAAACACCCACATCCACACCCACCCACACCTACACCCACCCACACCCCACATCCACACCCACACCCCACATCCACACCCACACCCTCGATTTCTCAAGGCTACCTTCATATTACGGTATTACTTATTGTCATCGTTATGATTTGTTTTTCTTCATTTCCTATAAGCTTAAGTTTTGACAATAGATTTGAAACCAATACCATACGGACTACTCTGTTAGATATCAACCCGGTTCGGTTAAATTTTTCAAAGCAGCATCTTGTGTCCCAATATTAATTCAATTCCTTTTTATAAAAATTTTGCAGGTTTTATCGATTTTCCTGGTTTCAATGTTCGAGAAAAACGAATTAAAACTTGAAGTCGATACTATTTTTAGTCAGTATTGAAATTTCAGCTCTCAATTTCATCCTAACCCATCACACTATAAAACTGGGCTCCGATTCATCCTATAATTTCTATTTTTTTGACAAATCCTATATTTTGTCCTATATTTCGATTGGTTTTCCTATTTTTCCTATATTTTGTCAAAAAAAGTGGAAAAATTTTACGAGATTTGAC